ATTAATTCGAAAAGAAGTAACTACTCGATTACTACTTTTCATATGTGAGATATAGTTAAAGTAATTATATTCGCATGATATAATAAATAGGCCATATTCTTTTGTCCTATCTATTAACTAATACAAAAGAATGGTAATTTATACTACACAAAATGTCATAAAATCTTAATCGAAATGAATTTTTATTATTTAAACAAAAAACATTATTTTAAAATAAAATAGTATATCTAAATATATTTTATATTCATTGAAAATAAGTATATTTCATCGGATTTGACTGCATGAAACAACTTTTGTCTTTTCTTCAGAAAGTATTAATATTTTATTTTAACTAAAATAATACAGTAAGACAAGAAAAAAGCAATTCAACAGAACATCTATGCATGCATGACAAATTATATTCGGAAGATCCCAAATATAGTGGTACCAATTATTATTCAACAAGGGTTATTTTTCAATTGTTTTCTATTGTCGTAAGCGTTAGAAATAATTTAAATAGTGATTCAAATAGAGAAGAAGATTGTTTCCGCAAGAAGTACAAGGAAATAAAACTATTATCAAGTTTCCAAAGACAGGAACTCTAGAAAATCAAAAGACTAGTTTTCCATCACCTGAAAAGGATAAAATATAATTTTGTTTAGACTACAATAGGATGATAGTGTAAACTACCCTCTACAAATTGAGAAATTGCTGAATTCTTTGCGACGTTTTTTTCAACTGAGATACAGCAATCTTACGGAAACTCTTAAAGTTGGTTTTTTTCCAATTTTCTACAAAGAAATTAATTTTTTTGTTTACTCTATCGTTCTATGTAGTCTAAACAAAATTATATCTTATCTGTTCTAAGTGCTGAAAAAATAGCCTTTTAGCTTTCAGAAGTCTTTATTTTTGAAAATTTGCTAATCATTTTTATTTTCTTATATTCTTGTTCGAAAGAATTCTTTCTATTCAATTCACTATTTGGATTCTTTCTAATGCTTATAGCAGCGAAAAAAGATGACATATCAGTATTGTAATTTTTTTTGTTTATTTTTTGGAATAAACTCCATTGTCATCAACAAGACACTTGTCATATGATTCCATAAACAAGAAGACATGGTACTTATTATAAGCCTCTTGCTTATTTTCAAGTAAGAATGCAAAAAGAATTGATTCAAAACAATAGACACTATTCAAGATCGAGTATTGAGATACATCAAGAACTACAAATGGGGTGTATCCAGGCGTAAGTTTCAATGATTGTAGATAGTATCCGTTTCCTGATCTTGTGTTTTTCTCTTATTTTCCATTTGGACATCTTTGACAAAGGTAGATGATTTTCTACTTGGAACAAATATTTTTCGATGTGAGTTAAATTTATCTATCCTAAGTCAATTGAATAGCTTTTGATTTTTTTTATTAAATATAGGTTAAACAATATTTTTATATGTGAATTCTATTATTCTGGATAGTAATTCTTAAAGTATAATATAAACAAGAAAGAAAACTCAGATAGAGAATAGAGTTATTTTTATTCAAAGAAGTCTTTAGTCTTATCGATAAAAAGATTCAAAAAGATACTGACACATCTAATAGGGTTAAGCAAACTATGAAATAAAAAAAAATGAGATACATGTCTTGTCTTATACATTATCCTTCTTCATCAACTATCAAATATAAAATTAGTTTTCTAATTTTTCACTTGTCCGAATTTATAATAATAAAAAAGAAAACAATTAATAATATTATCAAAAACTTCGAAGATAGAAACAATTATTTGATTTTTGGTTTATTAGATCTCTTCGATCTTTTCTCATGGTTTGATCATTTTCAATTATCAAATGATGATTGGTTATTATTAAATTAATTATCATATTGCATCAAAAACTCAAGAAATTCATCAACATCAATCTCATAAAATGAGAACTAAGGCTTCATATATTTATCATATGATAAATACTTTTATTGACACTACATTAGAATTTGTTAAATCTATTCCACAATTCATTTCATTACCATGTTTGAATAAACCCAGCATTACTTATGCGTAATAGACGATGATTAATGTTCTATTCACACTATCAAATGAACTTTAAATTTCTATACAAAGTTTAACTCAAACACCATACTGGAAAGCTTCATTAGACGTTATTCTTTTACTTTCTACAAGATGTTTGTATAATGAAGTCAAATATCATATAGGTCGTGTTTCATTTCCTGATCTATATTATGTATAGAAAATTAATTCTTGTTATACTTACTTTTTCACCAAATAATACAAATCATAATGAGATGATAATTATACATCAATTAGATGAATATTATCATGCATTTGTACTTCATCATAAACAAAATATATCTGTTGAATATATGATATAAGTTAAATTCTGAGAAATTTATTAATATGTAAAATATTATTCTTTTTTGTTTTCGATTTATGTATTTTGTTTTAGACATTCATTTGGGGAACAACATGCAAAACAAGTTCTTTCTGGTAGAATCAAAACAATATTACGAGAAGAATTTTTGCATCTCTTTTATAAATTATGGTAAAATATCATTCGAACAAAAGTTTGATGAAAATATTACAAATTCAATCTTGAAAATGAATTATAATCACAATTTTTTTAGCGATATTTATAAAGAGATTTATATTTTTAATGCGGATAAACATATCTCATTAGATTTTACATCATATTAACTACATTTTGTAATGTTCATTTGACATTAGTATTTAAATAAAAAGACTTACAATATAGAAAAATAATCATATTGTATACTATAAAATTCACTTTTTGTCAATGTATAAAAATTCTGAAGAACTCGTTTAAATCTTTATTCGTATAGTAAATACCTTGTTGACCTAATTTTTTAATGCACAATACAAAAATATTTTTTTTTTATTATAGAGTGTCATACTAATTCTTAGCGTCGGTGTGATTATAAAAAGTTCTAATTATATGAATATATAGAATTTGATGAAAGAATGTTTTTAACGAAATATATTAATTAAGATTACCATATCTATCATTATACGAAACGTGTAGTGCTTATAATAGATAGATTTGAATAACACATTATAGAACAATTGTGAAACATGTTCGAAATATTATTAGAAAAAAAAAAACTAATTACAATTGATTTGACATGAGATATAAGAATGTGTGTATGTAATAGAAAATTTCTCTTGTTAATAACTAAATATTTCCTATTGAATTGAAATAGTATAATAGTTATTATAATTCTAAATAAATATCTATTCCTATTAAATTACGAGTTTGATAAATTAGAAAGATTTTGTTTTTGAAGAAATTTGTTCACAACAATAAAACAGATTAAAATATTTTTAATGAATTACTATTATTAATTTTATTTAATGAAAATAGGAAATTTTACTAAATATATACAAATAATATGGTTTCAATTACTTATACAACTTAATAGTCATCATTGATTCACTTGTTAAAATGTAGTTTTCGTCCTATTAAGTTTCTAATTAAATAGTCGGTAATCAAAAATTATGATGAAATGACACGAATAGCGCTTTTGTTCAAATCCGAGGTATATTACTAAAATTTTGATGAACTTTCCAATGCGCTTAAATATGTTGCGGCCAAAAGAAAAAAAAAACAAGTTTGCACTTGAAGTAGGACTGAAATCGGATCAATGACTTTATTTAAAAACAGACTATACTACTCAATATATTAATTTTTTTCTTCACTTCTTTTTGCATTTCATTCATGAAAGAGCAAATTAAGAACGATCTCATTGTTCTCTATTTATGCCATAGACAGGTACAAGACGAGGAGACAAAAAACAAGAAATGTACCCATTTAGCTCTTTTTTTTGTTTGTCGCTTGATGTTCTTTTTTATGTAAAAAAAAAAAAAGATTGCGCTTCATTGCAGTGAATTAATAGAAATAATTGAGGAAGTGATCTTCTTTTTTTTTTCTTTATCCTTTCTTAAAGTGCAGTCAAGAAGTTTCGACGTCAACAATTTTCATTAGAATTAGGTGAGTTTTACTGACAACAAAAACTCATATGTCAAAATGAATGTTATTTTTCTTTTAATAGTTTATAAATTACGATAGTTTGATTGTATTTACTAACTATTAGACACTTGATTAAGACAATATGTTGAAATCTAGGTATCACTAAATATAGTTATTCAAACAGTAGAATACTTTCGATTAACAGCTTATTAAAATATAAATTAAAATAAATTCTTCTTAATATAAGAGTTCTAATCATTTATAAAGATGAATATCGAGAGAATGAAGCCAATTGTAAGAAAAACAAAAAAAAACCCACATGTTATTTTATCGAAATGAACATTTTAATCATTGTTGACATGTTTAATTACAACTTCTGAAGAATTTTTGAAACAATGTATTACATCACTATGTTTTTCTAATGAATTCTATACTAGAAATATGTCTTTAAGCATAATTGAAATTAACATATTATATTATTTGTTTTATCATTTATAATAGTAGAGCTAATTGAATTTTTTTTTCAAAAATTTTAATTAATTATCTACTTAGTTTTTAATTAAATAATAGAATTTAAAATATAATCTTCTCATGTACTTATTTATATTTGAATAGAAAACAAAAAAACTGTGTAAATTCAATAGTAATTGAAGTTTCATGTTATGATTTAGTCATTAATATTATTCATTCTTTCTATATCTAAAAAAAGACTTTTTTTTAAAACTGTTATTTCAAAATAAAATAGACTTAAGTAGGCTTATTTTCACTAGGTTTCCTGGATAGAAAAATAGACAAAATTAGAATCGGATAGTCTCTCAACAGGAAAGTCGCCTGTTGTATTGATATTAAGGCACAGACTTTCTTGTTAGATAATAATATTATAAAATTAACCTACATTGAAATAAGTAGAGAATACATGTCAGAGAAAGAGAAGAAAAAGACCTTTCTTCTATTTTAATGTTCTTTTAACATATCATATCTGTTAATTTTATTCTTTTATAGAAAGAAATCATAAACAGAAAGTTAAACATGGCAACTATGTCATCATTATTTCAGGTAATTAAATTCTAATTACAAATGATCTTCTAGATTCTTTTTTTTTTTCGATTAGACATCTACAATACAATCTTATTATTTATTTTCAAATTCACAAACTGAGAGAAAACGATTAATATGTGTCGTTTGTGGATCTATTGCACGTGGATTCAATTTTGGTGCAATAACTTGTATGAGTTGTAAAATATTTTTTCGTCGTAATGCATTTACAAATTTAAATAGTCTATACTGTCATGCAAAAGGAAATTGTGAAATAAATCAACAAACACGAAAATGTTGTACATATTGTAGACTTCTTACTTGTTTTCGAGTTGGAATGAAAAGACAATTATTTCGTTTAAAACAAAATAATAATAATAATAATATTAAATGTTCAAACATTGATAAACAACAGCATAGAAAAGAATTACCATTAGAATTACATTTATATCAAAGGACATTAACTAATCAACATATGTTAACAACAAATTCATTAGTAAGTTATTTTTCTATTCACTAGTATATTTAAATGAAAAGAAATATAAATATATGATTGTTTATTCATAAGACCATAATCAAGATTTAATTGAAAAAAAAAACATTTATTTGATTTTAGTTCAGTAGATCTATTGATCGTTTTCGATTATCAAATAATGATTGGTTATTATTAAATCAATTATCATTGAATTTTGATTCTCTTAATTATCATATTATATCAAGAGCTTATGAAATTTATCAACAATTGTTATCAGTAGGAATTTTACCCCTTAAAATGAGAGTTAAAGCTTCATATATTTATGATATAATGAATACTTTTGTTGACACTGCGTTAGAATTTATTAAATCAATTCCACAATTCATTTCATTACCATTTTTGAATAAACAAGCATTACTTATACGTAATACACGATCATTAATAATATTCTATTCATATTATCAATTGAATCTTAAATCTATACAAAGTCTAACTCAAACACCTTATTGGAAAGCTTCATTGGACTTAATTCTTTTACCTACTACAAGATGTTTGCATAATGAAATTAAATATCATATAGGTCGTGTTTCATTTTCTGATCCATATTTAATAAAATTAATTCTTGTTATACTTGCTTTCTCAACAAATAATATGGATCATGATGATATAACAGTTACTCATCAATTAGATGAATATTATCATACATTGATACTTAATAATATACAAAACATATATGTTGAACTTATGTGGAAATATATGATGTAAGTTAAATTAAGAGAAATTTACCTTGTTAAAGATAAAGTAGTTCTCAATTATAAAGATTTATATAAAAAGAATCTAACTGAAAACTTTCGTAATCATGAAAGAACTTGTATAGAATAAGTTTGCTTTTTTTTTCTTTAGAAAATTTTTTTGTTTTAATTTCTAGAATATGTCATTTAATATTGAATAATGAAATTAGATGTTAAATTTGTTTTCTCATTATTATGTTTATATATATATATATATCTATTTAGACATCGATTTGGTGAATCTCATACAATTCTTCATTTTTGTGATATTATACAAACGATATTACGAATGGAAAGAGTTATTTTTGGTATGGATAATAGTATGATGTCATTCGAACTGAAATTCTATGAAAATATCGCAAAATCAATCAGTAAAACTCTTCAATTTGAAAATAACATTTAATCACAAATAACTTATTTTTAATATCTTCTATATTGTAGTTTTGTTTTGTAATGTATATCTAATGAGTGTATTGTTTTTTGAACAAAATATCATTTAGAGAAACAATTAATCTTCAATAAGCATAACTTTATATGATATTGATTTTGTTTTGAAATGAATGTATTAAAATAAATCTAATATTGAAATGATTAGAAGTTTTAAAATCATAGTCAAGATAAAAACAAAATGCAGTCAGAAATAAAAGTTCGATAGGAATAAAATCAGATCTACAAACAAAATCTAATAAATTAAATTCTCAGTATGATAAATAATGCGCATACTTGATGAAATAGGATGTGTATTTTTGTATTAATCAAAAAAAAAATGATAATCATTTGTTGATATTTGATCATTAAAACTAAAATTGAAAATGATCTATATTATTTTTTTAATTGAACATAAATTTTGTATTTCTTCAATTGTGATTATCTGTTTACAAAGCATTCTCATGAAAATTGGAGTTTTTCTTTCTGTTCAAATTGATAAACTAAAAATATTATTATAGAAAAAAGTCTTAGAAAATTTGAGCTAATAAGACATTCTTCAATTCTTATAATCACTTTTTTGATAGTTTGGTTTAGTAGAAAATATATGACTTTGAAAAATTTCCTTCTATTGCATGGAACTTAAACTCTGATGACAATAAAGTAGTAAAATGATTATAATCCTTAAAGAAAGTCTTATCAGTTCAAGTCTACTTAGTCTGGTCTTAAAATAATATCTTTAGAAGACGAACGATATATTATTGTAAACAACGTATAATCTATTGGAGACTTACCTATGTCAGAACATAATCATAGAATATGACGATGTGGGTGATCGAAATCTTCTTCACGGATACGAATTATTATACTTCTAATCTTTCTTTTAGTCTAGCAAATTTCAGTCTTTCAATACAAATATATTTTGTTCAATTCAGAATGTAATCAAATAAAGACAAAAACAAATAACGTAAATAGAAATTTGTTGCAATGACAAAATTCTTTTTTTTTAAATGAGTGCAAGCTGTTATTTGTATATCTACAGTAGTGGACAAAAGTACTCCCGTTTCGACTGCCATACATGCTATATATCGAAAAATTTGTGCGCACGTAATTCACTAACAATGTAGATCTATGATATGAGCGTATCTTGATTTTTTTAAATGAGATAAGAATTATAATGGATGGGAATGGATCGCACCTATTTATCATGTTAATTGTATAACTGTGAACAAGAAGAACTTTGTGACTCGGTTCATTCTTCATTATTTAGTGGTTTGCTCCGATTATTGACCGTATAAATTTAATCAAAGTCCATCAATTTTTCTTAGAATTGTAGCTACTTTTTTAATGACCATTCGGATGAGGGAAAAAACTATCTGCTGGCCTTCGAAAACCATAACTCAGTAATAGTTCAGTGAATTGAGCTGAAACTTGTAACATGAGTTTTGCTTGTAGTTGAGCATTATTACTTACAAAATGCCAATCTCATCCGTAAAATCATTGTGTTGATGCAGAGACAGTAATCTTCATTTAAATTACGTTATCTTAAGAATTAAAAGGAAGATCATAAACTAGCTTCTACTTTCATACTAAAATATTAAGAATTAGTCATGTATTTGATAACAGAATTAACGATAAATTTAGTAGACAATTTTTTCAAGTTAAAAGCTTGAAGCAACGATCGGCGCCTTCCATCATAATTCTCGTTATATTCAAGCAATCGGAGCAATCTCGTGCTTCTGAACTAAATTCTTAATGCAGTACGTGTACAGAGATTTTCAGATCTCCAACAGCATGTATAGTAGTCGAGATATGGAGGATGGAAGATTTTTGTCTACTGCAGTATTACAAACAGTCAAATAACTCATTATGACGATAATAACTGTAATTCATCCGATAACTCTTCTCATAATAATTATGATATTAGATATCAGAGGTTTCAATAGTTTTGAGCTGGACTGAGAAAAGTCGGTTCATGCATCTAACTATGAATGAGCGAGCATATTTCGAGTACCAATATTTGGTGTATAAACAAATATTCAATAACATTTGATAATTTGAAAAATCTTCAATTCTCTCGATTTCAGCAGTATTTTCTGATTTGTTTTTTGAGTTGGGAAGCCAAAAAGTTTCCAACAAGAAAATGTGTTTGCTTTTTTATTTTTAATGACAGTATATATCAATGGGTGTTATTTCAAAAGAAATTTGATCCGTTCGGATGGATATTGTTTCTTGTATGTGATGAGAAACAAGTGCCGGTAGTGGAAGAAAAAGTGTTAACAATAATCGATGATATTGAGAAGATTCAGTAGAAATAGAATGTAAAAAAAGCAATTAATGATGATATTGTAGTTGTTGATGAACGAGTAGAGCTAAGCAAGGATATTCTGTTGAATATAAAGAAAGTATATTATCTTTTGCTTTATATATTTATTGTTCATTGCAGAAGAATTACATAAGATTTTCAAAAACAACAAAATTTTCTAGCAATACGCAACATTTTTTGAAAATTTTATATTTTATTTAAGATTCCGCTCTATTGCAATATCGAATCAGACTGATTCAGTCCATTGAGACTTCTGTTGGACATATGCTAATATACCCATTGATTATGCTCCGTTCTAATTATTTATTTTCTTATTGTTTTCGAACAAAATTGAAAATATCACTGACAGAAACTATTACTATCTTAATCACAAAATAAATTAACAAGAAATCAAATTTGATAGTCCTTTACAAAAGCAACATTTGGATTCGATTTGTATCACATAGGAGATACAGAGAGGAGCTGCATACGAAGAATCTCCATAGACTAGATAAGTTGGTGATGTAGACTTCTCCCAAAGATATATTTCAATAACTTTTTTTTTGTTGTTAGTCACATCAATTTTACGTTAATCACAATGTAAAAATAAAATAATAAATATTTTCTGCAATTTTGTGAAAATAAAAATTTATTTTAAATTTCAGAAAAAAATAAATGTATTTATTTATTTATTTATTATTCGGTGGAAATCTGCTTATTCGTCGTTTAAAATCTTGTTGTTTAGCAAAATCATTTTGATATTCTCGTATTGAATAATTTGTTCGAACATTATTTATTTGTTTCTGAAGTCGTTCAACTTCATTTTTATGTTCTACTTCATCACGATGTCGTTTTTCAGTATTCAAACTATAATGAATCAAAACAAACGCAAACTTATCAATTAACAAATATAAACAACAAGAAAACAAAACCACATACCTATGTGTAGAATAACTATTATGAGTATTAACAAATGCTCCATTTTGTAACATTCTCGTACGAAGACGTGCATTTTCACGTTCAATCATAGCTAATTCATATTCTTTTATCTATTATTAAAAATATAAAAATTAAAAAAGAAGAAAAACAAAAAATTTTATTAATATATATATATACCTGTTTTTGTCTAGCGCGTTCATAACAATGTGGTCGAGAAGGGGGACTTGATTGATCTAATAAACCTTGTGCTTTTTTAATCTATTAATAATAAGAAATTCTTGAGATAAAAAATAATGACAACGAAAAAATAAATCTTACATTATTTTTATGATCTTTCTTTTCTTGAAGAAATTTTTTATGTGCAAGATATTTATTAGCAACAGGAACTATGTTTGGATGAGAACGATGCATTTTAATGGTCTTCACTCAGTCACTTCAAAAAACAAATGATTGTTGAAAATAAACTCATACTGAATGAAGAAAAACAATAGGCGAAAGTTGTTCTTTTTTTTTTTTATTATTGCAAATATATTACAAACAACAACACTCTAAAATAATACACGTGTTTGAGACAAATAGAAAAAAGAAATAATAACTATTAAAATTTATTGTCTAGAAGGTTTTTGTTTATTTTCAATTGGTTTTTTAAAACTATTTACATGATAAGAGTTGTCAGGGGGAATATTTACTTGACAAAGAAAATGACTAATTGTTCTTTTTTTATGAATGAAAAAACAAAATATTTAATACAACAGTAAGATAAATGCAATGTTATACTAATTTTTACATCGATTTGATCAAGATTTCAACGGTCAATATATCTGAGATAGTTAAAATGAAAATAACAAAGTCAAATAAATGTCTGTATTTTTTGTTAAGTATACAATTTTATGTATTCAAGCTAAAAATACATCAAGAATTTTATGCATATTTAAACATTAGAAATATATTGATAAGCAACATGTGCAGAGGTTTCGTTGTAATTATTTTCTACATATCTGTCTTTTGATTTCTTTCGATTTTAACCAGCTGATTGAAAAGAAACTTTTTAATAATGCAAATGTATGTTATTTATTACTTGACTATGAGTACTGGTTCGAACAACAAAAAAGCAAAATTTAAATTAGTTGTAAATAGATGCAGCACATCCAAGGAGGGTACCTTCTCCTGTTTTTTGAAAGTTTAATGATAGTCTTTTCCAGTTTTTTGGAAAATATTTATCAAGAAGTTTCCCAATGTGAAGATAGTATGGGCTATATCTTTCATCGATTTGTAGAGATTTAGGCTAAGCCTTTCTCTCATTTGGATAAATTATCAGATCTCTATTTTCTCCGAATTGCGGGGGTTCATATACTTTTTTTTCGTAAGTTTTGTAAGATTTAAACATGTTTTTACTGATTTTTGTCAAAATTTTATATAATGTGACTATTTTCATCAATGACATGACGAAAGAACGTACTGAACAATATGGTTATTTCTAATGACGAATTAAAATATTATGAAAAGATACACGAAGAAGAAAAAAAACAATACCATAGATTATTCAATCGATCGAATTTTATTAATAACTACATGTATTATTTAAATAATCATTTTTTAAACACTATCAACTCTGATCTAATACGAAAAACAAATCTACAATTATCCTACTCTTCGAAAACATACCAAAAAAAATTTTCGTTAATCTAAGTGATCAAAAAACTATTGAGCTTTAGTAAAAAAAAAAAGATTAA